TGGTTTTCAATCCACAATATTATTATTATATTGTTTTAAATATATATTTCACAAGAAACAATTAACCCGATTACTCATTCCCATTATTCTCACTCTTGATCCTAAATGATGATCTCAAGGGACCTATCCTACAGGATGATTGTAACAATGAGTAGATAATACTACCTCAGGGATTCCTTAGCAATATATGTCAATAAGGCAACCATGAGGGATAGAGTACGTGAATGAACACACAATCCATACCCTTAGATAACATGATTCATTAACACCTATAAATTACGAGTATGCTAGTGCTCCACTAGACTGTCTAGAAGAGACAATGACCATCATCAATACTCTGCTAGATGAGTGCTCTTAGTAGTACAATAATACAATGTTTTGGGCATGGTCTCTCACCATTCATCTCATCCCTCTCCGGTCTCAATAGTATAATACTACTATATTGGGCATGGTCTCTCACCATTATCTCAACTCTCCCTCTCTCTCAACCCTTTTTACCCAATACATTATAAGTTTGATAAAAATACATATATGATTATTTCAAGAAAAATCATCGTCTAATTTAGCATAAATATCAGGAGCACAGATAATAAGCTCATATGTCATTTAAGAAAATTAAATACTTGATATTTATATGTAAGCTGAAAATAACTATACACTCACTTGTTAAAAGTGGATGACTGGTGATTTAGGCAGCGCTTCGCCTAACACCTTAGCTTTTCCTTTCAAAATACCTAGATATGAATATCACTAAGTCTTAGTTTTATATCTCTCACGACTACAATAACGATAGTCTAGATTTGTCATTAATCCCAATGTCTACATCAAGATCTATCAAATAAGGAACAACCAGATAATATCATATTGGAGGTAGGGTTTGTTTGGTATACATAGTATACTGTTTGAAAATCCTACTTTAAGCACCTCACTAAATCTAGCCTATACTTCATTCCCGTAAGTAGATCAATCAATATTATGAATTGGAATCACTGATAAATCTTATTTATAGATTCATAATAACGATTATGAATATAAATATAAGTTACACTTGAAGCATAGTAAATGCAACTTAACTTACAAGAATTTTAGCGATAACTCAGAAATTACGCGAGCAAAATCTCGACCCGAACATTTTTATTCTACCGGACTCTCTGGCGGTCCAGAGGTTCGCTACTGACCCATAAAAACTCCTAAAGTCGGATTTAGAGAAATTGGGAGGTTTTGAGATGAATTGTGTGGTGAAATGAGTGAAAAACGAAGGGTATATATAGGCTCACGAACAGGCACGATGCACACCTTATCGAGTTGCATTGCGCCCTTTAGCTGGTGTGTCCGGATGATAAGCTGCCACGTGTCAGGTCACAATTCGTCCACATCCGCCCCTTCTAGAAGCTGCCATGTGTCACCAATTTGTGAGCCCACGTGTCTCGATCTCGTGGTGCAACGTCACTCAGTCGGTGGAAGACCCGACACTCTCTTTGCCACATGGCGCCTCCTGGTGGTGCTACGTCATCACAACAAGTGTTTTCTCGAAATCTTTGGACGACCATAACTCTCGCATACGAGCTTCGTTTTCGACGCTCTTTATATCTCCAAAATCCTCTCGGCAAGCTCTACAATTGTCCTTAAGGTCTCAACATCTAATTCTCACTCTATTTGAATTTCATATTTTAATAGAGATTGGATTGTTAAAGTCAGTGTGGAAATCATAACTCTTTCATACGAACCCCGTTATCGACTGTCTTTATATCGACGGGTTCATATTTACGAGATCTTCAACTCTTGATTACATTGTTTTAGTTAACACTTAACCGATTTAAATTTCAATTTCTGTGTCGCATACTGTTGTACTGAAACTTCAAAAAATCATAACTTCCTTATACGAAGTCAAATTTATGCGTTCTTTATATGTACATTCTCTCTTTTACGATTACTACGACTTTCGTTTAGATTACTTAAGCTTATAAGCAACCTATCTCCGATTCGTATTTTATGACGTACTTTGTCGTATAGGGTTGAACACAAAACTTCAAAGGATCGTAACTTTTTCATACGAAGTCATATTTAAGCGTTCTATATATACCCACAGAATCGTCATCACGACTACTACAACTCTCATCAAGATTATTTACCCGATATAATTTTCTATTAAAAACATCTATTTATCGCTCGTAAAATGTACGACAAATAACTATTACCTATTATATCTTAAATGTATAGCCCAAATTTACGGGTGTTACACATCACCACAACAACACTCGATAAGAGCCCCCATAAACAACCCATTATCAAAGGCAAAGTAAACTTGTCAACTCCAAATCACCAGTGGTAAAACATCCGATTCTAAAGAAAGTACAGAGAGACTTCCATTTTGAACTCTATCCCTTTTAAATAAAACTTTTTTACATCAAGCTTCACCACATAACACTATCTATTTTTCAAAAGCTAATGTCTAATTGCAACAATGGAATAATTATATACCTCATTTTACCTTGCATATTCAACATAACTAGAAGTTCGAAAGAAAATTATATGGAACACCTCCTAAATCACATAAACATAACATAAAAAAAGTTATTAAGTAACTCTATAAATTTATAATTGAAGCAAACAAGAGAAAATCAGAAGTTTTACCTGAAGCAAACCACAAAAAATCAGATCTAAAGCAACTGATTTTGAACTCAAATAGGACAAATCGGACATGATTATATCATCATAATTAAAAAATCATACATATCTAAAGTCGTAAAGCAAACTACAATAATTAAAAAAACAGATAAATAACTTAAGTAAACTGCCGTAATCGAACTTCAACAGGCAACAATCTGACTTGAAGTCGAAAACCTTCTGATTTCTTACTTTCAGTGCCATCAGTGGTCAACTTTAGATCAATAAAATAACGAAATGAGAATAACACGAATCACAAATTAATCACCCAAATCACAAACATGAATCAATCTTCAATGATGAATCTTCGAACTCCAACTTAACCAGACACGAAACTCGCTAATTTAGAAAGAAATTGGGAATTAGATGAATGATGACAGTAGGTTCTATAAGAAATTAGAACGAGAATAGGAAATAAAAATCAATTTTAGAGGGATGTAGGTGTAATAAGTCAATTTAGAGGTTATTCGATTTCTACAACTTGCATTTTCAAGGGATATCAATCAATTGGATTTAGGCATTTGACGATAGCAGTTCTCAATGCCCTGGGGATCTTTGGCACCCACGTCTCGTTGTTGCCACTAGACTCCTCAGGACAGTGTCAATGTAAATCAATATTGGGCAAAAATATATACATATATTATCTATTTGATTAAACAGATGCCCAATTTTGTTTGATGCCTTGGGCCTTAACCCATCTCGCCCATGTAGTGGGCAAGATCTTGCTTACTATTGTTAGTCATGTATAATTTGATCTTTCATTATTGTTCTTAATGGTTGTAACTTGTAAAGTCTGAAGATTGTTTTAAGCTCTTGAATAAATTTGTTGATGCCGTTTCAAGGAAGTGTTTACAAATTTCACACTTACCATCTGAATGTGAATTCATGTTGATTAGAAGACACAAGAGAATATAACAAGATCGAAGGATGGTAGAGTAAACCGAAAGAAATTATAAGATTTTTGAAAAAATCAATCCTTATAAGGCTGCATATATATAATCAAGAAAATTCTTATACCGTGGAATAATGACATTTTACTATCATCACAAATTTTTTGGTATAATTAATGAATATCACGAACACTTTGCAATATCATTTTTTATTAGAAAAGTGATTTCACTGTACATTAAAGTAGACATATAAAAATAAATGTTAAAGCAACCTTCTATTTTTTGTTTTTGTGAGAAACCGTATAGAAAATCACCTAACCTAAAAAAGAAAGTATAAACAACCGATTTCTTTTCCATTAACAAGAAATGGGCTTCTTGTTTGTCAAATTTATTAACGAGAGGCCCGATGGCCTAATTGTAATTCAGCCCAAAAGAATACCCTTTACGGTCAATGTTCGCAACCCTCAGGTCAGCTCTTTCTCCTCCTCATAAACCCTTCTACGCTCCTTCATTTCGTCCTCCAACCCTTTCGCCGCTTTTCTGGAGCCGCAGCATACGCGGATCCATTCATTCGCTTCTCTCTCTAGAAAGGTAAAATTCCTTGATCTCTCAACTCCCTTTCTCTACGCTTCTTTGCTTTGTAGATCTGAAGTATCGTCGCTTCTTGTTGATAGATCTGTATTTAGCTCTTTGTTTTGTTTATTTCTATATACTTGCACTTGGTTTTGTCGGATCGACGCAGATCTGAATAAACAAAGCTTGATTCATAAGATCAAGTGTTGTTTCTGTGCTGTTTACACCGATTTTGCGTTTAGCTTTTCGTTTTTTCGGTTTTCTATGTTTTTATATACTAGATCTGGTCTATGATCGGTTTTTAGTTGTCCGAAATCCTTGTCCATGACTTTGTAGTATTCACTTCATGATTCTGAGTTAAGAAATAATTGCGAATCTTACGCTCCTCTGTCTGTCGTCCATTGAAATCGCATCTGTTGATTTTACGTTTTCCAGCTGACCAAAATAGTTCGTTGACCAAAATCAACATCATTTCGTTGCAACTTTGGGGTAAATACGTAACTATAACTAGAAATGATTCAATCTGTTGGAGATCTAAAATAGAAATTGTTTCGATATTTATGTGATCCGTGTTCGATTGAGGTTTAACTACCTGATGTTATGTCGATCTGTTGAAAACATTTTCATTATTTATTCATTTAAACTTTGACATCTGGTTGACGTTTTTTTGCTTGTGTAGGGGTCATGACGATCGATCATTCACATCACCCAAGTGTTTCCCAGAAGCTTGGTCTTCTTGGATCCAGCATGACACAGCTTCGTGCTCGTGAGACTGGAGTCCAGCAGCCACTTTACCAGAGGCAATTTCAATATGGAAATTACTCAAATGCTGCATTTCAGCACCCAACTCAGCAATCAGCTGAACTTTCCATGATTGTACCAAAAGTATCACCGATCTGTGTTCAAGCTCCAGCTGAGAAAGGTCTTCAAGGGTTTGCTATTGATTTTCTCATGGGTGGTGTCTCTGCTGCTGTGTCAAAAACAGCTGCTGCACCCATTGAACGTGTGAAGCTTTTGATCCAGAATCAGGATGAGATGCTTAAGTCTGGTAGGTTGGAGAAGCCATACAAAGGTATCGGTGAATGTTTTAGCAGAACCATTAAGGAAGAAGGTTTTGGATCTTTGTGGAGAGGAAACACTGCTAATGTCATTCGTTATTTCCCAACCCAGGCTAGTATTCTTTTTCTCTTTCATATTTATTTCTTATATAAGCAAAATAACAATTTACTTTCATTGGTTTGTTTTAATATAACCTGTTTTTAATTTCCTATTTCTTTTTTACAACATTTTCTTTTAAAGATCTATCCAATTATGGTGATGTGTTATAATATTAAAGCAATTATGAACAGCTAATCTTGTTGATTATTTAAAGCATAAAAGCCAGGCGTTGCTATGATTTGGTAGAATTTTTAATGTACATTATCATATGAAGAAAAACGAAAGTTTTACTTTTTTAGATCTAGTAGTAATTATAGCTTTTAATTATGAAACACATCTAGTTATAGCAGTGTCATCTGACTATGAAACACATTTAAATGCTATAATCTATAGATTTTCTAATTTCCAACTATGAAACACATTTAAGTGCTATAATCTATAGATTTTCCAATTTCTAAAAGAAAATATTAAGAGTACACTGGTAGTTCACTCTTTATTAGGAATCAATTTCTTTTTTACACCATTGTAATTTCATTTCTTTACTTTACTGCAATGTTTCCATCCAAGTTAAAGATTAAGATGAATGTTGAATGTGATAATCATGTAGATCTTAAACTTCATTGATAAAATCATGAAACAAAAAAAACAAAAGAAAGTTCATGCGTTTTACTTGAATCCAACTCTTTACTTTTTATTTTCCATGATATAAATGCATATTTAAGTTTTGATTTCTTTATTGTAACAATCTTTATTTGTTTTTGTACATTTCAGGCTTTGAACTTTGCTTTTAAGGATTACTTCAAGAGGTTGTTCAACTTCAAGAAGGACCGTGATGGTTACTGGAAATGGTTTGCTGGAAACTTGGGATCTGGTGGTGCCGCTGGTGCCTCCTCCCTACTTTTTGTCTACTCTCTTGATTACGCGAGAACCCGTTTGGCTAATGATGCCAAGGCTGCAAAGAAGGGAGGTGAAAGGCAATTCAATGGTCTTGTTGATGTGTACAAGAAGACACTTGCATCTGATGGAGTTGCTGGACTTTACCGTGGATTCAACATTTCATGTGTTGGAATCATTGTTTACCGTGGTCTTTACTTTGGATTGTATGATTCCTTGAAGCCAGTTGTCCTCACTGGCAAGATGCAGGTAACTTATATATATATATATATATATATATATATATATATATTTTATGATGTCTTTAGATTTTGTGTGTTACAGATAGACATTCTAAATTCTGTAATTTTTTTTTGTAAAATTTCAGGATAGTTTCTTTGCTAGTTTTGCTCTTGGTTGGGTGATCACAAATGGTGCTGGTCTGGCATCATACCCAATCGACACAGTGAGAAGACGTATGATGATGACATCTGGTGAAGCTGTTAAGTACAAGAGCTCATACGACGCCTTCTCCCAGATCTTGAAAAACGAAGGTGCCAAGTCACTGTTCAAGGGAGCTGGAGCCAACATCCTTCGTGCTATTGCTGGTGCTGGTGTCCTTTCCGGATACGACAAATTGCAGCTTATCGTTTTCGGCAAGAAGTACGGATCAGGCGGCGGCTAATACTTTTCTTCCAAAATTATCAGCAGATGGTGACGACCAACAAACCAAAACAAAGCTTTTGAATTTTGAGGGTTTTTCTTTTTTCTCTCCTCTTGCTCGGTTTGAATAATAAGGATTCAGTTTTGGGAGTATTCCCTTTTAAAATATGGATTTTTCTCTATCTTTTTGTTAAGTATTATTGTGAACCTCTATCATTAGAGAGCAGTACTGATTTTTAATAGGTAAAACGATATTAATTTGGATGATTTCCTTCTGTTTTTTACTTTGCCTCTTCCTTTTGGTTATTTTTTGATTATTGATCATAATTGCTTATTTTTGGACTTGACTGGTGAACGTTTAAGTTTCAAATTTTGTTCCAACTTAAAACGAAAATCAACTTCATTTTATTGTTTTCGTCCCAATGTTGTTTGTAATAGGTAAAACGACAGTTTTTGTTCCAACTTAAACTGAATTTTAATAGGTAAAACGACAATTTTTTTTATTGTATTTTTGTTTGTTGGTAATTTTGTAGGTTACCTTAATTTTTTTTTTTCCAAATTAACACTCATCTTTCTAGATTTTTCCTATATTTTTTATCGCATTGTTGTGAACTTTATGTGGAACTTTCGGTAGAAAGTACTTTTTACAAACACATGCTTTTAATGTCATTCTTGTGATGCATCATCCAACTCTTTGTCAATGGCTTCCCGTTACACACTCCCAACCTAAAACATGTTCCGAGTGTCAAAAAAGGACATCAAGCTTCATACAAGTTCAAACCAACACAACAACATGCTTCTCCACTTTCCTAACACCAACAAATATGTTAATACTTACAAACAAAAAAGGAAGTGATTCGTAACATTTTTTCTCCATAAACAATAATGTGTGCTTTAAAATGTTGTATTGTACAACTCAAAAAAACATAGATTGTTGTGTACAGAGAAAAATTATTGTACAAATCACTTCCACATATTTTCTTTCTTTTCTCTTGTTAAATTGAACTCGAGAAGGAGACGTTAGACATCATTTTTTATGTGTAATATAACCGTGATAAAGAAACAAGAGAGGAAAATGATTATTCATTCCAATGTAAAAGCCAAAATGAAATTCCCTCTCTTGTTTCCTTATCACGGTTATATTACACATAAAAATGATATCTAACGTCTCCTTCTCGAGTTCAATTTAACAAAAGAAAAGAAAGAAAATATGTGGAAGTGAGAAGAAAATAAAAACAATTGGTGTTATCGAGTTTCATTAAAATTAAAAAAAATGGAGGGAAACGAAAGAATCACTTTTTCTCCTAATTTTCCTTCCGATTTGAAAGGATTTAGAAAGAAAGATCAAAATAATTAATTTTTCTGCCACTTCCTTCCAATTTAGGAACACAAAAGATAGATTTCTTTTCTTTTCCATTCTTTTCTTTTCGTTGCTTAAAGGGATAATGACTTAAAATGGTAATATATTATTGGATTTGTACACATTTGGTCACTGAGTTTTTTTTT